AAACAGAAGGCCAAACAATATACAGAAAACCTCAACGCAAAGTTACAAAACTCAAATCAAAATTTTACCTTTTCCTGGGTTCGCTTAATTTGGCTCTAAACAACCCGGCCCAGGAGCTACGCTTTTAGGCTGGCCTAAATCTATATATAAGCTTATATATTAAATTGTTTATGCCTGATGTATTTACCGTGTTTTTAAATAAAGATGATGATGATGATGATGATGATGATGATGTTGATGATGATGATGATGATGCATATGATAAGGTCCGATAGCAATGTCCAAGAACAGATATCCGAGCATATTTTTAAAGTCAAATGGAGGCTATTGTGTTTATTATTCTTCAATATGTATCGCAACACGCAGGATCGTTTGAAAATTGGGGATATTCCTCAGTTTAAGTTGGGGCATATTCAGTCACGTAATGCTTTTCAATCAATCGCGTGCGAGCAAAATTATTTGATGGATTATAATGGCTGGTAACTGAGTTTCAGAAATGCATTATCTGAGGTTAAGAATTTAATATTAATACTCCATCCGACCTGCCAGCCTTGATTAATCTACTTAACTGTAGAACAGAATTGAGACCGGTGCTGTTGAGATAACGATAAAATGACAAGATTTGAAATCATGTCGAGAGCAGTTATTTCCGAAAGAGAATTATGCGATAACTTTAACAAAAATCGAGTCATACATTTTAAAAAATCTCAACAGTACTAACCAAAAAAAAACAAACAAACAAAAACAAAAACAAACAAACAAAAAAAAAAAACAAGCATATTTTGAACATCTCGATACTTTTCAAAATCTTCACAATACTACGTATCTCCGCCCCCCACCCCCTATTCCCCTTCTCCGGGGGAACGTTAGTGAACATTCCGGTAATNAATTAGTAACTCTGAACTCTTAGTTACTCTTGAAATCGCATATTTAATTAGTTTCCCTTGACAATGGCGCCAAGATGTCGCCGAAACGTTGGATTTGTCTATCGTTAGTTTTTGCCTGCAAATGGAGGCTATTGTGTTTATTATTCTTCAATATGTTTCGCAACACGCAGGATCGTTTGAAAATTGGGGATATTCCTCAGTTTAAGCTGGGGCATATTCAGTCACGTAATGCTTTTAAATCAATCACGTGCGAGCAAAATTATTTGATGGATTATAATGGCTGGTAACTGAGTTTCAGAAATGCATTATCTGAGGTTAAGAATTTAATATAAACACTCCATCCGACCTGCCAGCCTTGATTAATCTACTTAACTGTAGAACAGAATTGAGACCGGTGCTGCTGAGATAACGATAAAATGACAAGATTTGAAATCATGTCGAGAGCAGTTATTTCCGTAAGAGAATTATGCGATAACTTTAACAAAAATCGAGTTATACATTTTAAAAAATCTCAACAATACTAACAAAAAAAAAACAAAAACAACAACAAACAAACAACAACAACAACAACAAAAACAAGCATATTTTGAACATCCCGATACTTTTCAAAATCTTCACAATACTACGTATCTCCGCCCCCCCACCCCCTATTCCCCTTCTCCCGGGGAACGTTAGTGAACATTCCGGTAATGTAACTACGCCTCTGCAAGCTAATAAGTTAATTATTTTCTTTATTTTTTTTCTTTCATTTCCAACACTTACATGGCACAAATACCACAGAATTAAGAGCCCTCAAATTATTCATATATTTAAGTCCATGACACAGCTTCCATTCTAATATCTCGCGTGTTACAACCACTACGACATAAACGTTACACGGCAAAAGCACCGCTAAAGATCCCGTCCACATTACCCCGGAGAAATCTGGAAATGGTGTTTTCACCCTGAAATTGTCTCAAATGTTTTTTTGGTGCACACCACGCCAGAGAACTACAAAAATTCAGCAATCACCGGTCATTTTGGATTTGTGTTTGAGGAAAACACGGACAGGGAAATCACGTGATCATCGTGACGCTATCGTTTTCCAAAAGCTCTGTTTTCAAAACCTTTTCCGTCCACTCTAAAATGTACAGTAAGGGTTTTCCAATTCCTCCAGTTTGACGAGCGTTTTCATAAAGCTCCGTTTTCGTGAGGGATTAGTGTGGACGGTAGGCCTAACCGTAGAAATAAAGCTGCGTTTTCAAATTTCTCCTGCGTAGCGTGGACGGGACCTGAATAACCTCTCGTTCTGTAGCATGATATCGAGTTTAGCCAATTCGGCAAAGTATCAGGTCATATTCCGCAAGAGTTTCTCAGGATAATTATATTGTTAATTATTACTGAATACCTTATTATAGGAAATTAGCGGTTTATGAAATTAACGTGAATCTTTGAAATTCGCATTAATTTAAGTGGCGTTAATTTATGTTAATGTTAATTTCAGCGCTGTTAATTAAGTTGCACGTTAATTTCCACGACGTAAATTACCATTATTTTCTCCCAAATCTGTGACACACTCAAGACATTCTTGACACAGGCAAACTATAAATTTTATTCGCGCACATTTCACATCAACCTTTCACATTAGTAAATCACTTACTGCACTTCAACTGAATTTTGTTCGTGTTCGCTGTCAGCCTTACAGTGTTAAAATAAATTGGTCCCTGTTCTCAACAAATTCTGTTTTTTTTGTTTCTTTCTTTCTTTGTTTTTTTTTTTTTTTTTGGTGTAGCAGACGCGTTAATTTTCCTCATTTTGAAATTTGCCCCCTCTCTCTCCTTTATTGAGAAGCAAATTTACCTTCAATTTGGGTTAATTTAAGTCGCGTTAATTTCAAATGCGTTAATTAACAAGAGCGTTAATTTCTTATAATAAGGTACTCGTTTGATTTAACTAAATAGGGAACGCCGCAAGTAATTTTCAGCTAAATTCGTACTGTTTTCCATCAGTTCATTACTGGTTCGGCCGCTTCGGCAATGCTCTCAATCGAACATTCGTCGGTTCCTCGTCGGATACGAAAGAAACCATCCTCGCCCCATTCCTCTCCCCAGCTGTTTTTCACAATCCAGAACTTCTCCCCAGTCTCCTTGTCTGCTCCATATCCCACGACCAGGACTACATGATTTGTTATCTCGAATGGGTTGAATTTGTCCGTCAGACCTGTGTAATTCCGCGGTATTAGAATGACAAACATAAGTGAATCGAAAACCTGACTGAAATACGTTCACAACAGTGGCGGAACCAGAGCTTGAGCTAAAGGGGGGGAGGGGGGTTTGTTTTGCTTGCCCTGGCGGCTTTTCTTCCTTCTATGATTTCTTCGTTTTCAACCCAAAACAAGGGGGTGTGGGGCCTCCCCTAGATCCGCCACTGCACAAATTACGTGTCCCAGATAAAGATGTTAAGAGTGGAAAAGATTGAGGTGGGTTAGCTCCGGTCAAACTAGCTTGAAACATGATCCCACCCCGCCTTCATTGAGGACCTAAGAAATCTTAGGGTGAAGGGGGAGTCTTTAAAGACCGTTTCTGAGGGGGCTACTGTGTGGGTACCTTTGATCTTTTTACAGCGTTTATGGCGCTCTTAGTCTCATACTTGGTACTTTTTACTTTTTGCAACAACTTCTCAATTTCGATTTGAATTTTTGTTGAGAAAGTTTGCTGAATGCTCGTTTGATATCATTTACCTTTTTGCTTTCGTTTTTGGGCTCTTCCGTATGATATTTTTAGCAGAAAGAAGCCAAGCGATTTTTGGTTTGGAACGTCCTGTAAAAGGAAGAGCGTTTTATGAGGCCGCAGTCCTTGCCCCACACAACGTTGGTAGGAGGATAAACAACCGCACTCCCAAAACGGCTGGAAGTCAAGCCTACCTAGATGCTGGTCTCTGGTCTAGACGGGAAAAACTAGACTGCGGTCAAGATGAGTGCAAGATCGATTTTAGCCAATCACGTTCGTGAATTATGCAGTTCTCCGTCCTTGCGAAGACACAGTCATAGTAGGTAAAAAGCCTGCCTCTTACCAATCAGATCTGTTTAACACCACATGGCACAATCTATGAGTAGCTCACCTGTGTGATGATATATTCCTCCTTTGTAATTCTTGAAGTCACTATACACTTCAAAAGAGACTGCTATTGGACCATTTTTGAGCAACTCTAATCTCATCAACACTTCGTTACAAGCTCCATAGAAACCACCAACGTAATGGTAACCAGTCCCAAACTGCCTTGGACATGCCTGCTCATGGCAGGGAGCATCTTGGGCTTCATATGGGAAACACTGTTCATCCACCAATCCAAAGTCTTTAGCATACTTGCTGATGAGATAAGGAAATCCTGTGTAGATAAGATAAATTGTCATTTAATAAATGAGCCAGGTATGTGAGGACCTAACCGTAAGATACTCATGGTTCATGCTCCTCGTCTTACTTTTTGTCTTTTTTCCTATTTAGACTAATAATAAGATTATATGTACAGCGGCATCGATTTTTATTCAAATTAAAACATTGTCAGAACACTTCTGAGGTGATGATACATGTATGACATGACTTCTCCTTCTACTTAAGTTCAGCTAAAGCTACCTTGATAAACCTGTCAGTGTAAAACGAAGACTGCAGACTGCAGACCGGGGGTAAAATGCAGACTGAGGGTAAAATGCAGACTACAGACCGCAGACTGCAGACCAGGGGTAAAATGTAGACTGAGGGTAAAATAAAATATTAATAACAAAAAACGAGTCATAAGAATAAAATAAAGAGTGTTTTGCTTGATTAAAGGAAGTTGAATTTTGTACACGTTGAGTTTTGGCATCTTTTCTATCAAAATGGTCTTACTAACGATTATTTGAGAACGCCGAAATGTTATTATTTCTCGGGTTTGCCGGGATAGCCGACTGTCACCTTTCAGCAAATACCAATTCACAAACCTCTTGATATATTAAAGTCGAGTACAAAGATTGAATGTCTTTCACAAACCAGGCTCGATACCTACAAGTTTAGCTTTCCTGTTGTTGTGCTGTCGTGTTTTGCTTGCCTTGTGTTCCGAACAATTCCAAGGCCATTTGAAGCAACTAAGACACGCGGTGGTTTGAACGTTTGTTAAAGACTTTGTCGATGAAAACAGGATGAAGAAAATGTGCTGCAAGAGTTGGTCGGTCCCAGACCTGATCGCGTAAACAAAATTCAAAATGGCCACCACGTAAACAAAGGAAAGATGCATAGAGTTACGTTTTTTTGGGGCCCTTGTGGGAAACTTGGTTCAACAAAATGGTGAGTTCAAGAACTCGAGGTTGATAATATAATGTTTGACTAAGGCTAGGAAACGCCTTTTCGTTTGAGTTTTCTGGATTTTGGAAAAAAACTTACGGGTATGGGTACGAACACTCCCAAGTATTCATTTGATCCAGATTTGATCCTCGTGTTTTTACTAATATTTTATTTTACCCTCATGATTAGTATGCATTTTAACCCAGGTCTGCAGTCTGCAGTCTGCAGTCTGCATTTTACCCTCAGTCTGCATTTTACCCCCGGTCTGTAGTCTGCAGTCTGCAGTCTGCGTTTTACACAGACCGCTTGATAGCGGAGCTCCGGCGGCCCGAAGGGCCGCAAGGACGAAGCCCCATTCCTTAGCAGATTTGGTAACCCATCAAGCCGGGAAAATTTGGTTATTACGTCACCGTACGAGCGAGCGAACGCCGTTCGTACAGACTCTGAGGGAGGGGGAGGGGAGCCTCGTGGTAACGCGAACAGGGGAACGGAAGAATGCCATGTTTTTTTGGCGGGAGTTTTAAAGAAAAGAAAACTCATTTCTATTTGTTATGTCAACAAACGATAGCGGAGGTTGATCCAACGTTTTTAAGATGGGGCTGCACTGAAGCAAAAAACAGAAACAGAAAGCAAGAATTAACAGGCAAAGAAGTAGCGAAGAAGATCGCGAAAGAGAGCGGGACAGCTCTGGGGAAGGAGGCGAAACGAATGATACCGGTTTCGCCCCATGGTGAGTTCGCCCCCAACGAGTTCGCCCCCACTATAAAAGCTCTATTTCGAGTTCGCCCCAAAATTTTGTATTCGTATTTACGTTGTTGTTATCGAGTTATTAAACGTTTTCTTAAAACAATTTCAGTCTATGTATGTTTGATAAGTTTAGATGATGATTGTTAGCTTGTTGCAGCCGGCGCGCGCACTGCGACAAAGTCAAACGGTTACCGGTCATCTCGCCACCAACGAACTCGCCACCAAGCGAAGTCACCAAGCGAAGTTTCCTCACTAAGGCTGTGGATAAAAGAACGAGGGATGATCTCTATATGCGACTCGATCTGGTTGGGGGCCCGGGGTTGGGGGCGAACTCGATCAAGTTGAGTCAATGTGCGTGCGTTTAGATGAAAATGATGTGGGGCAGTGAGGCGACCTCGGTGGGGGCGAACTCGCCATGGGGCGAAACCGGCAGCTACCGTGAGGTCAAGATGGCTGGATATTGGCCAAGTTCTTTTTTTGCGACTTTGTGGACCGAGACGGAGTCGAGATCCATAAACTCGCAAAAAAAGAACGAGGCCAATATCCAGCCATTTTGACC